ATGAGAGCATGAGTGGGGGTGGGGGGAGGATGGGAATTTAATGGAGGGGATGAGGACACATTTGTAATACCTTAACCAATAAAGAATTTTTAAAAACCCACAAAAAACCCAGGGCTTCTCGTGGAACCCTGTCCTCTTCCCACAGCTCTCAGCCAGCAGCAGCAGGTGGAGGTCTAGCCAGCCGGTTTTGAATCTCATTACACCACCTGCCTGGGGCTCAGGTTTTACACAGGCTCTTTGGAGCCTGGGGTAGGGTGGGGATGGCCCTTGGTGCAGAGAAGGGGTGCTCCTAGGTGGGCCTGGTCTGAGCTCTGATAGACTTTTCAATACCTGCTCTAGTCAGGTCACTGCCTCCATCAAGCCCAGGGTGCTCCAGCCCACTCCCTCACATCCTGTGGCCTCTCTACATCACCCCAGACCCTGAGCCTCAGTAGTTAAGATTTCTAGGATAGGAGGAAGGATGGGGTTGCCAAACCTGACTCAATTCTAGAGAGGTAGCCTATGGGGCAGGAGGGGCCAGGCTTTACCCAGCACCCCTTAAGCGGTTAGAAGTTCTTACGTAATCAGCCAGGCCCTGGGTAGAGCTGCAGGGCTAATTCCCCCCCCTAGCCTCCCCCCCACCCCCCAACCCAGTTTCCCGGTCACCTCCCCAAGCTGCTGAGCACCAACAGATGGGGCAGAGAAAGAAGTCCAAATCCTCTGGACCGGAAGGACAGTGGGACTGTATTTCAAGCTGTGATACAATCCAGAGATTAGCTACTGTCTCCCTTTCAGCCAGTCCCCTGGGGCCCGGCTCAACACTCCCAGTCTTCCGCCAATGACCCTTACAGACCCCAGGAGACTAAGGGTAGGAGCGGGTCCTGCATCTTAGGAGCGATCCAGATGGGAGCTGCACTGGCAGCCTCATCAGACCTCAGTGAGCAGCGAGGAAGGGACAGCGTCCTCACCAGCTCTGAGAAGGCCATCCATCGGGAACCTACACCTGCCAGTAAGAAGACTAAGAGGAAACAAGCTAAGGGGGAGGAAGCACAGTTGGGTAGGTTCTCCAACAAGCACTGTTTGAACCCCTACAAGCACTGTTTGAAGCCACGTGGGCCAAGCGTCGTCGGGTGTGTATTCTGAGGCCTGATCCAGGGCTAAGATTTTAGGGAGCGTGTTTTTTTTCCCGATTTACTCCCCGGTGCACCGCAACACCGAACCCTTTTCACAGTGCCTGCCTGCATGCCCCAACCGAAGCTGGGTGCTCGGCGTCTGAGCCCCCCGTTTTCAGGAAGTTAGAGGTGGAGGCGGTACGAGGGCCAGAAGGGTGGGGTCTGCCCCTGCCCTCCCGCACAGCGCCACCAGGTACAC